GAGGCCCAGGAAGCCGGCCCCACAGTGTTGAGTCGGGACACCCGGGCCGCCCGCGGTGGAGGCAGGAAGCGAAGCTGCTTACTTGGTTGACGCGGATGCCTGCTTCCCCCCAAGGCTCCGCCCCCTGCCTCTAGTCCTATCCAATCCGCAATCTTTCTCAGAGGTTGGCTCCGCCCCCTGCTCCCCGCCCGCTGGTCCGTCTCGGATCAGATGCTCAGGCAAAAGGAGTCCAGCCCAGAGAGAGTCGTCCTCGAAAACTTGGCGATTAGGCCGCCTCAGCCTTCCAAGAGGAATCCAGGACCAGCGCGCGCGTGAGCATCACGCGAGCGGGGTCACCGGATGGGTACTTGCTGCCGTGGGCACGGGATGGGCGCGGACTGGCCCGCGGTTACCGTAAGTGTTCGATATTGTGGGCACTCACAACTTGTTACCGCCCTTAGCGTTTCGCGGACTGACATTCACTAGTATATAGAGCAAGGGTTTAGAGTGAGAACTGTCAGACTTGGCAGGACTCCGCCAATAACGGCATCTGACCTTAAACAAATTGCTAATGTCTTTACGCCTGACCCCTCTGGTGTGTAAAATGGAGTTACTAGTAGTACCCACTTCGTAGATACTTTGAGAATTAAGTAAAACAATGCACCTAAAGCAACTGGCACAGTGCCCAACCTGCATTATAGGTGATGTGGGCTGTGTAATTTTTCCATTCAGGTTTCGTCTTGCAGATACACTGATACAAATAAAGCTCCGTCTTGCTCAATCGGGCTAGCGCGTGATCTGTCACATTTGTCCCGCTAAGAGTTAACTGCAGAAAACATGCCAAAATCTACTGACCACAATTTTGACGCTTGGCAGGGAAGGATACAAAGAAAATAAAACCTAAAAGGAGGTTCTATTTTAATTGAATTCTGCGGGTCCTTTTCCTCAAGAGTTTGGCAAATCCCTACCTAATTTTTCTGGAACTGATATTTTCAGCTGCTGTAGTTAGAGTATCACCAAAATCTGTAGGTCAGTGCTAGTACAAATCTCTGGCCAGTACAAATCCCAGTCATCATGCTTAACTGAGCCCCTCAGCAATCATTCTAGGAGACAGTAGTCAGCTTCCTCTCCCATTCTTCATTACTGCTATGCCACACTACTCTCTCCTTCCCACCTCCATTACCTTGGCTATTATTTGCAGGAGAGATTCTTTACGCTAGTGAAAAGCCCATGTTATTTATTTATTATTTTTTTGGAGAGGTTTTTGCTATAGGGTGCATGCACTCGCCAGACAGATAGAGAGAGACAGAGAGATAGAAAGCGAGAAATCACCCCCCAGGGGGGATGGCCACGCCACAATCCCTTCTCCATTCTCCTCTCAGGATCTTGTGCACGCACGCACACACGCCTGGCGTGAGTTTTAAGCCACTGGGTCCGGGACACAAACCGCGGTTGACTACTTGGGAGTCCAGTGACATAGCCATTACGCTAACTGCTGGTCCCCTTTAAGCCACCGGGTCCAGGACTCGAACCGCGGTCAACTACATGGGAGTCCAGCGACATAGCCATTACTCTAACTGCTGGTCCCAAAAGCCCATGTTATTTGAATATGAGCCTTAACAACCTCACCACTTCCACCACATAGACCTGCATCCACATCTGCCCTGACCCACTTCCCTCTTCCAACTCTGGGAAAAAGGGTGATCCTGGCCCAACTAAATCCTTGTGGACCAAATGCATCTGCTCCTATCTTTTCTGGAAGATTCAGCCTCTCCCTTTCCAATAACTCTGCCTCCTCACCTCATAAATGTGCTAAAGTCTCTGCCTTCCTTATAAACAACAAGAAGACTAAGAAAAGTCATTCCTCATAATTAGCCCACCAGCTGTTAACATCTCATAAACCTACAATAAAGTAAAATAGGCCCATAGATGATGCAAATAGAATAACCCAGCTGAGAAGACTCTAGTGTATACAGAACCTCCATGTATACTAAAGGGAAGTATCCATTCAATAAATATTTTCTGAATCACTCATTTGAAGCACTGTGTGTTCAGTTAAGTAGGCATGAAATAAGAGATAAAACTGTGAAAATGGGCTCAGCTGTAGTCGCGCACACTGCTAAGATACTGCTATTCAGAGACCGAAGTCACAGAGGCCCAGGTTTGGTTCCAGCTCAACCTAATCAGGCCAGGAAAGGTGGCACATGCCTGTAGTTCTACGTAGCTGGGAGGCTTAGGCTGAGGCAGAAGGATCCCAATATGATGAGACATTGTCAAAATCAGTCTTTCTCTCTCTCTTCCTCTCTGACCAAAATACAAGAAGACTTCAAACAGTTGATAGCAAAATGGAATTAAAGTACAAATTTATTTAAGTCCAAAAAAAAAAAAACCTGAAACCCAGACGTTTTTTTTTCAGAATACACATTTTCTTTCAATTTTTTGGACTCCTTGTAAACAAGCTTTTGATTTATTTTTTTTTTAGAATTATTTACTTTATTTTATTTATTATTATTTTAATTTGCTATAGGACACATGTACTCACTCACCAGAGAGAGAGGGGGAAAGTAATAAAACAAGCCATCAGGTCTTGGACTCAAAATGCAGTCAACTATGTGGGAGTTCACCACCTTAACCAGCATGCCACCTGCTGGCCCCAAATTATTTTAATTGTGAAAATAGGCCAGATCTGTGGCACAGTGGTGGTGTGCTGCTCAAGCAAAACCAGATTACACATGGTGACCACTGTTCAAGTCCCTGGTCCAATCAGCCTGAAACACTCTGAACATATGTGTAAGCACCCAGATCCAGTGCACTGGAGAACTAGAGAAAGAGGATCTTAGTGTGTCCAGACCCATTGAAAGATGCCTCTCTCTCATTTTCTTACTCTCCTGTGCACACACATGCACTCTATCTTGAATAAATAACTTTTAAGAGATTTTTGTGCTCCCTTCTCCTCCGTTCTCCTCTCAGGATCTTGGGCACGCACACACACGCGCCTGGCGTGACTTTTAAGCCACCCAGGCCAGGATGCAAACCGCAGTCAACTACATGGGAGTCCAGCGACACAGCCATTACGCTAACTGCTGATCCCTACTCTTTATTTTTTAAGAGAGATTTTGGCAATAGGGCATGTGTGCTCACTGGAGAGACAGAGTGAGAAATCATCCCGTAGAGGGGATGGCCACACCACAATCCCTTCTCCTTCATTCTTCTTTCTGGATTTGTGCATGCACACACATGTACCCAATGTGAGTTTTAAGCCACTGGGTCTAGGACTTGAACCATGGTTTGCTATGTGGGAGTTCAGTGACATAACCATTTTGCCATCTGCAGGTCCCTTTAACATATACTTTCAAACAAACCAGTAGAACAAATTTTGAATATACATAGCATAAAAAATGATGAAGATTGTAAATATATGTATATCCTTGATTTGATTAGTATATACTATATACATACTTTGAAAAAACATACCATTCCCATAAAGATGCAAAATAATTATATGTAAATCAGGAATTGTAGTTTAAAAATAATTTGACTGTTCTGAATAATATTGCAATCACATAGGAGCACAAATATCATTTCCACATACTGATTTCTTTTTTTTTTCCTCTTTGTATATACCCAAGAGTAGAAATGCAGCATCATATAGTAATTGTATTTTTAATTTTCTGAGAACTCTCCATAGTATTTTCCATAATATCTGTACTGATTTACATTCTCACCGACATTATGCTGTTTCCCTTTTGTATACATAATCTCAAAACCTTATTCTCTTTTTTATCTTTTGGTAATAACCATTCTAACAACTGTGAGGATTTTTTGGTTTGGGTTTTTGTTTTGTTTTGTTTTGTTTTTTGTTTTGTTTTTTTAAGAAAGATTTTTGCTATAGGGCACATGTGCTTGCCAGAGAGACAGGAAGCAAGAAATCACCCCCCAGTGGGGATGGCCATACCACAATCCCTTCTCCTCCATTCTCCTCTCAGGATTTTGGGCATTCATGCA